CTTTGCTGATGACTAACAATGACTAATGGGTGGCATTTGGGCAGGTCAGATTGGTCACGCGTTTTGTGGACAGGACATGCCATTGCAATTTATTGAGTAAATACAGTGTTGCAGCTGTACTGGAACTGCTTTGCTATGGGCACAGCTAATAATGGAGCATGTCTTCAGTACAATTGTCAGAGTGTTATGACAGCCCACAGCCATGACAGTATTCTGTGCTTTCAGCTGTTTCTTGATATCAAGGGAAGAGAATTGAACTGGCTAAAGACTAGGTAATCATCTGTTATGATTAAGCCTCAAGAGGAAGCCAGGAATGATCAGCTGCTTGGCACGACTAGCTGAAGATACTTGCAAATTATTCAGGCTGGCATTTTGCACTGGTATATTTGGCTCTGCCATCGTTGAATGGGGTGGGGGGGAGGGGAGCCAATTGTGGTACCCCTTCTTCCTGTTAGTTGTTTAATTGTCCACCACCATTTACAACTATGTCAAGACTGCAGAGCCCTTAGACCTGATCTATTGGTTAAGGGATTGTTTAGCTTTGTCTAATGCATGCTACTTCCACTGTTTGGCATACAAGTTGTCCTGTTTTATACCTTCACCAGGTTGACACTTCATTTTTATGTATGCCTGATAGTGCTCCTGGCATGCCCACCCTTCACTGAACCAGGGTTGATCCCCTGGCTTGGTGATAAAGATTGAGTAATAGAAAGTAATGAAGGATACTTCACGCCATGAGATTGCAGATTGTGTTTGAGTACAATTCTGCTTCTGCTTATTGCTCACAGAGCCTCAGGGATGCCAAGTGTTAAGTTGCTAGATATGCTTAAAATCTACCTCATTCCTATGATGGTAGTGTTACATGACACAATGCAGATTTTCCCACATTGTGAAGACAGGCCTTCATCTCCTCAAGTACGGTATAATGGTAACTTTTACTGATACTGTCACGGTCAAATTCATCTGTGTCAGGTAGGTTGGTGAGGAGAAGGTCAAAGAAGCTTTTTCGTCTTTAGTTCTGTCAATACCTTCTAGACCCAGTCTAGCAGCAGAGTCCTTTAGGAGTTGATCAGCAGTGGTGCTATTGACCCACTTATAGTGATGGACATTGAAGTTTCCCAACTGCTGACAAGTTAACAATCCTGTGACATTGCCACTGCCTCCTTGTTTATACATAAATCTGTATATAATTTGTAGTTAGAGAATAATGGAAAAGTTCTCCTCAATAGTAGAATATTAGGACTCAAAAAAATCTCATTAAATCTAGGAGACAATAAGTCCTGATGAAAGGCTTTGGCCCGAAATGTTGACTTTCCTGCTCGTCTGACCCTGTCTAACCTGCAGTACTTTTCCAGCCTCACACCTACAGACACTCATTAAATCCAGCCAGTCTCAGCAAAATCTAATTCAAATCATGCCAGTACATTTTGCCTACTGGAATGTGTGAAGGATGGTTTAAACAAAATTAGACTGGATTCAAAACATTAACTCTATTTCTCTCTCTATACAGATGCTAGCAGACCAGAGCTTCGCCAGTATTCGGTTTGTTGTAGGATTGAGTTTGGCTATCGTGCCCTCTTGTGGTTGAGCTGTGTTTACTACAATAATACATTAATTCAAATATACTACTACTTCGTAAAGTTTTTAGGAATGCAAATTTTTTTTGTAGGACAGCAACAAGAAGCCACTGGCAGTTTGATTGAAGAAATTTGTTTGGATTTTTTTGATAATTGAATTTTGTTATACAGTCCTTTTAGGGAATACAACATATTGAGGCTGTTGGTACACTTAAATATCTGCTAGCAGACACAGTTTGAAGTGGTAGCCCTTAGGTTCAGGTGAGTCAGGGAAAATTCAAGTCTATCGTTTCGTTAACTTTGCCTTCCACAGTCAAATCAAAGGCAGGAGATTCAAAGATATTTTGTGGCTACATTCAATAGTGACAAACCTTTACCCATTTTACCTTACTATGCCATTGAGAACTGCTTTGATTCTGGCCTAGCCTTGGGGTGGTGGCAAATACATCTGCACGTGACGTGCGTGTGCCTAGAAGCAAAGGGTTCTTTATCTCCATCTGCACTAGCAGTCAAGGCCTTAATGTTGCATCCCACTCGGGAGTACTCCCTCAACATCATTCCCACTTGTTGGCTTCGTTGAATTAATACATTTTCTTACATAAAAAGAGCTAGCGGCTGAGCGCTGGCACATGCAAGCTTCCCCAAGGAAGGGGATTAGTCGATTCATATCCGGGTACAAAAAATGTTTGAAAGCTACATATTGAAAGTTTATTTTTGCATCATTTTCCATTATAGTTTTCGTTTAACTTTGCTTTCAGCAATCTTTATTTTTCAATATCCCAGAATAGTTTCAGATACTCACATAGACAGGTAAAAGGGTCTAGGTACCTTTGAATTTCATTTATTTTAATTCATTTGCTGCAATTTTTTGAAAAAAAGACAACAGCTCCTTAAATCAGAGAAATATTTTAAGTGTTGAGGGATTTGGGTGTCCTCAGGAACAAAAAGCAGTTAGGGACACAAATAGCATGTCAGCTTTATTGTAAAGGCACTGAAATACAAGGAAAAGGAAATGATGCTGTTGTGAATATAGCCTTAGGACCACACATGGTGTACAGCAAAATTTCCTTATCTAAAGGAAGGATATATTTGCCTTAAGAAAGGATTAAAGTTCCCCATATTTGTGAGACAAGCACTGTCTGAGGGCAAGATGTTCAGTAAATGGGGCTTTTTAAGACCAAGAAGCGATTTAATCAAAATGAGCAAGATTCTAAGAAGGCTTGACAGTGTAGGCGCTAGTAGACTGTAAGCTGGCTGGAGAGTTTTGAACTGTGGAGGGTAATGTGTCAGAGGTTATCATAAGCAATGAGAAATTTCTTCCCTTGGTTGTGTAGCTTTGGAATTCTGCAGTTGAGAGAATTGTGGATACTCTGAAATCAAAATTTTCCCCTCTCCCTTTGTGTCCTTGGATTTGTAAACTTCAAGATTGATTGGGAAAGTGGAATGAGGTCCAAGTTTGCTCTGCCATTCACTGAAGAGGCCATAATCATCAACGTTACTCCTATTTATGTGCGCAAGGGTGCCCTTTCTTTTGGCATAATTTCCAAAATAACTTAAAATGATATACAAGACTAAAAATTTATTGCATTACGTGCTGGAAATTAAAATCAAGAAATTAGTATCATTTTTCCCACCAACGCAAACCAGAGGAGAAATTAAACAGTACAATTATGAAGTCAATTCAGTGGCAAAGATGCACCAAAAACCTGGAGTTTTCCACCAGGTTAAACATTTAGAAATATTGGCAAAAGCTAAAATGGATTTACAAAGCAGGTGGTTCCACCTCTCACCTGAATAAGGTGGATGGTGTACAGAACAGAAGCTGTCAAGATCAATGCATCTTTTATTCACTCCTGGGATGGGGAAACTTCACTGGCTCGACCAGCATTTAATTACCTGTCCCTGGTTACACTTGAGGTAATGGTAAGCTGTCGTCTTGAATTATTCCAGTCCATGCACCAAAGGTAGACCCACATTGTGACTGGGGAATGAACTACACAGAATTTTAAGCCAGCAACATGGAAATATAATCACCATTCCCTCAAAGCCTGAGGGGAGAGTGGCTTGGAGAATGTGTAGCTGAACTTCCCATATATCTATATAGTATTCACGGTGGATTTAGAAGATGCTATTTAGAAGGATCTTTGGAAAATTTCTACAGTGTACCTTATAGATATTAAAGTGGAGATGGTTGCAAGTAGAGAGGTTGCTTTGTCCTGGATGGTGTCAAGCTGGACTGTTGGTGGAGCTGCACTCCTCTAAATGAGGAGGGAAGTACTCCACCACACTCCCAACACGTACCTTGGTCAAGTGGCCAGGCTTTAGGGAGACAAGTAGTGAGTTACTCACTGCAGTATTTCTAGGCTCTAAGCTGCTCTCGTCTCCACACTATGTAGGCAGCTTATCCAGTTAATTTGCTGATGAAGAATAGTAACCTCCAGGATATTGGAGAATTCAGCAATTGCTATGCAATGGGTCTGTGATTAGATTGCTTCTTGTAGGAGATGATCATTGTCTGCATTGAGTGTTACCTGCCACTTGACAGCCCAATCTGGATAGTGGCCAGCTCTTGCTACATTTCATCTTGGACTGCTTTAGCATGAGAGGCAGCAGACAATGCTCGTGAATAAGCTTCCCCGTAATCTCACCTGATGAAGTAACTAAAGATGATTGAGCTTAGGACATGAGCCTGAGGAAATCCTGCAGAGATGACTAACCACTAACACCACCTTAGATGCCAGGTATAATGCCAACTACAAGAGTTGATCTGGACTCCCATCGATCCTTGATGCTGCACTGTCATATGCAGCCTTGATAAAAGGCTGTCACTCTAACTTCACTGGTGATGTTGCACAAGCAAAGTCAATTATTATTTTCTCTCATTCATTTGACTCAATGTTAACAATTTTGTCTCCACAGAGGCTGTAAGACTGGTGTTTCTCAAGCTAGATATTTGTTTCATATATCCAGCATGTTTTTAGTTTTTGTTCTCCCAGGACATTATCTACTGCCAATCTTTTCAATCCCAATGGAACCATAAATGACACAGTGAATAGCTGCTAAATAGAATGCAAAGAAAAAAACCTGAAACATGGAAAGAAAAAAATTAGGTTCAACATGCCAGAAGGCTATAAAGTGCCTGACAGGAAAAAAAAAAGGTGGTGTTCCACTGGAGCAGGCAAATGATAGAGGTCAAACAGGAGAACAAAAATGGTAATTAAGGTGGCAGGTAATCAATCTCATAGAGCAAAAGAATAAATTGGAATCCAGAGATCAAACTGTTCAATTACAACCATTGAGCATGAAAAGGAAGTAAAATCCACAGGTAGTGAATTGGCAGTGGCTTTTGGTAACCTGGATGGATCGTATCAGAAGTTTTATAGCATTGCTTTCATAGTGTGAAATATTTGTAGACAGCAGAAAGTGATTTCACAGTTTAATATGAATGAATAAGTGAACATATTAGACAGATCAGACAAAACTGTGGATTAAGGGGAAGGCTACTTAATATAGCAAGAGTCATCTTTTCTTGGTATATACATACACACAAAAAAACCCACCTAAAATTAAAAATCTAAGTAATTGTACAAAAGACAAAAATGACTAATACTGAGGAATGTTGCTTATGAGGAATGCTTTGACAACAATGAACTTGTATTCAACCAAATTTAGCTAGTAAAGCAATACATCCATTTCTGGTTTCAGTGGGAAAGAAATGGCATTTCATATTGATCTTTAACAAAGATAAAATATTACATCACAAACCCAATAAGAATGATAGCATTAAGCAGACAGGGATGAAAAGTACTTAACCAAAAGATTCTCACATTTTTGAAATGCCAAACTAGATGAGAAACCTTTAATAATTTCAATAAGCAGTTAATGGATTTGTTGTAACAAGGGTATTTAAAAAAAAAAAAAAAAAAAGTGAACAGGACTGGTGATTTACACAAAATCCATTTGGTGTTGCACTATTAAAGTACACTTACTCCAAGAGATTCTAACAGAAGGTTTTTCCTTCCCTGCCCCCTCCTCCCATTGCAGTTTCATCCCAAAAATGATGTCCAGCCTACACAAGTGTCATCTTAGACATTTTCACTCATTGTTTGGCATTTCCCTCCCTTCAGGCTACTAACAACTAAAGTCCACAAACCCATTCAGACTAACATGTCAAGAGGTCCAAAATTCCAAAGGTCTGCAGAGGGTAACCATCCTAGCTATATAAAAAAAAGTGCATGAGAACAGAACAAACTTCAAGCTGCAAAGAAAAAGTAAAATCAGGTACTCTGTCTTCAAGTTGCTTGACTACATCAAGATGTAGGCTTCAAATTCAATGAATAAATCTATAACAGCAAGTCATGGATTTCCCTTGGATACCAAGCAGTTGAGGCATCTCTCCTCATGGCCATCTACCAATTCCCACATCCTCAAAAGCAGGAGGAATTTATTCTTTAAACCATTCCTCAGAAGTTGGAAACAAAACAAATCCTACAGAATTCTAGATGGACAGGAGTACAATATTGTGATTAAGTGCTAGTGTCAACTACAAGAGTTATCCTCATGCAAGATTAGATTTGAGCAGTTAAAATTGGGAAAAAACCAAAGTTCATTAGGCAGTACAGAAGGGAATAAAGAACAAGTCAGAAGGGCAGAATGAATAATTTAGACAAATGATAATTTGTTAACAGCTTTATCGTCTGAAGTGCTGCAGGTGACTCAGATTTGCTTCCCCTACTAGTCTTTAGTGGCCCACTTAGACTCTGGATTTGGGAGAAAAATAAAACTATAAAATCACACAATTGGTAGTTTAGCAAAAAGTAGACACCCCTTCAACCTCATCGCCACTCACTACATGAAGCAACAGCTTTTAAACATAGCTAGATGTTTCGTGCTTGTACTACATTCCATGATACTCCAGGAGGTAATGGGCCAATAAATGGAGGTATGGTGTTAAAAAACACAACACAGCATTGTAACTCATCTGGAACACCACTGCTAAAAGTTTATGGCAGAACAAAGATAGCTTAAAATTTTAAAGCAAACAACCAAAAGGCAGTTGGTAGAAGAAATGCCTGTTATATTTCACTTCAACATTATAAAAGAGTTTTATGCAACAACTAGATGTGAATATTGCTCAAGTAATCTTTTACAGCACAAATTGATTTTCCTGGAAAATGTTTTACGCTGGTCCCAAGTCAACTGCATTAAGAATCTGAAAAAAAACACATCCGAGTACTAGAGGCGAATCACCAAAGAAGAAAAGTTTCCACAAGGATTTATTTCCAGTTGAGGCAGCAGCATTTCATTTCTGTAGTTTGAGCGCACAATAGGAGTATGAACATGCAAGGAATTTTAGAAAATTTGAGGAGTTAGAAACCAGAAGTTAATCAAATGCAATTTAAAAAGCTTATGGTTGGAGCCAAGGATAACATTCACACAATTCTTAATTCAGTTTTACTACAGCAGGAATGTAGTAAAAATGTTTTGAAGCTGTTACTAGACATTTAGCAGTGAACAATTAACTTTGATAGAACAGTTAGCCAACAAAATGGTCATTTGCCACAAAAAAATTGACACTGCACATTTTAAATAAAGCTTATATACATTTTGCAGCAAGGTTTAACACAGCTACTGTACAAAGAGAACAACTGCAGCACACCTGATGTTTTAACTCCTTTTAAAAAGGGAAACCTGATCATTTGATTACCCAGAACGTGTCATTTTTGGCCAAGTAGTAAAACCAAGAGTGCATTTATCACAATAAGCAGATGTAATGCCTGCCAAATTTATGTTGATGCAATTTACTTATTAGGCAAGTATTCAGTTGTAAATATTTATGTGGAATTCAGTGAGTTTAAATGTCTTACAGTTCTACTTTTGGCCATTTGCAGTGCTCTTACTGTAAGAAGCGATTCAGTGCATCACAGAACAGAGAGAGAATGTTGTGTTGGAAGATGGGTAAAGAGGGGAATGAATAATGGAGCACATGTACTTAAAAATAAGTCGGTTGGTTTAAGCATTTATGAAGCTACCTTCAAAAAAAGGATGGGAGGAAAAGGAAATCTTTAGGAAGTGTAGAGTCTTAGACTAATTGTTCTCCAATAGACAAGATAGCAAATATTTGCAGGGCACAGAAGCTTTAGCAGTTACAATATGAACAGTTACTAGTTTAAACACCATCTGCATCAAGCAATACAAAAAATTAGAAGTTGTATTTAACGTCCAGGAGGTCTGTAAGCAGAACTTTAATGAATGTTTATTTTCCTCCAAGTGTCACCATGGCAAGAAATTGGGGTGAAAGATTAACAGAAGAGAGGAAAAACCCAAAGGCTGAACCATCCGATACAGGTTCGGATTTTCAAGTCAAGTCAAACCAATACCACAAGTCCTGATGCTCATTTCAGAATCTGCAGGACTCAGGCTGCCTCTGCTGGAATATAGTGGGTTTGAGAGGGTATTTTAAAAAGCCACATTATATAGTTGTGAAACCAGCAGTGCTTACTTTTCGAACAGTCAAAATTAAAAAGGTAGTGATAAGTGTACATATTTAGTGTAAAAATAAAGGGAATACACTGGAGGAAAGACCAAAGAATCCAGATGCCCTACTGACGTACTTTGCCAGGTACATAATTCCTATCGATGCTTTCCTCTTGTAAGAACATATGCAGGCAGCGTTCATTCTGGGCCAATGGGTGACCTGCAATTCTAGAGAGGAAAAAAAATTAAAGAAAATTGTCAGATAACCAAAAAGATTTGTGTTCTGTAATTGTTAGTTATAGGACTGAATATTTCAAGCTATAATGGCAAGTGTCAGTTGTTCTTGTTATAGTTACATACTATAATGCTACTTATCTGCATTTCCCACCACACTTATACATTTAAAAACACTCAAATAGCTTTTAAAAGTATTCTATCCTAATCTTTACTGGAGGTACATTCTCCTTCTCCCTTTTCCCTTTTCCCCCCCCAGTTATTTAAAGCTCTGTTCACTCCCCAGAAAAAAAAAGTATTTGGAACTTTGCAGAAAAATCACTGAATACCTAACTTTTTAAAAAATATGAACTTTGAAAAACAATGTTCTGCTGGGATGTGTTTTTACATAGAGGTTCATTACAGAAAACAACCAGTAATATTTAATAAGTGTGCCAAGGTAGACAGCTGTCTCCTGTTTAGATTTCTTGCCAATAAATCTAGAATTGTAACATATTTGTGTACATGTGGCTTCATCTTAGGGCAAGTAACTAGGAATGGTCATAAAGATTACATTAGAAAATCTTCCCTAATGGGAAGTGTAGGAGATAGTCAAAGATTACTTGTTAATGAATTGTTCTAATCCAGCTCTTCTTTCTTCAATAAAAGACTCTTCAAAAATTCCTTCATCCATTCTGAATGGTAGTTGACGTTTCAAAGCTTTTCCTGGTAGTGGTGGCACAACAATCTGCAGTGAAATTAAGGTTTTTTTTTCAAAAAAAAAAAAAAAAAAACAAAACAAAAAAAAAAAACCAACTTATTGCATTCAACATTTCCTCACCTAGCTCCCACCAACACACTTCAAAGTTACAACCTATTCAAGAAAGTCAGATTTCAAAGTGGACACTTCTCCAGTTCCCATGCATGCTAATTCACTCACGAGTTTTACATTAGTCACTCAGTTCTGCTGCGACCCACTATGGCAATTTAGACAAATATCCAAGACAGTGGAAAAAAAATCCTGTTTTTGGATATCAGAATTTTCATACACTTGCCTAGTTCCTCATTATGTTACCAACATCTGAAATGGTCAAAGTGAAGACAACAAATTGCAGCATTATCTTGAAGCAGTTCTAACAGATGCCGTTTTTGTAAAAAAGACATCTAACCTAATAAGTTTTTGCAGCAATGTACACTTAAGGGGTAAGGAAAATCACTAGTTGGTAATTAGACAACTAAGAAGCACATTTAACTCCTTGCTGAGCCACCCCTTCCAATTGAAAGAAACTACTACACAACTTTTAAGTACATGAAAGCAAAAAGGCAGGATTGTTAGAGTACATATGCAATGGGGTCTTGTTAGGAAGAGATTCGGGACCAAGTTAGAGATGGCAAGGATGGTGAAACTGTTAGCATTCATGTCATTACTCCACAGACCTGACAGTAACTTCAGGAATCTATACATGCCCAGAATAAAAAAGTTGCAGTTATGCAGTTTAGCAGCCTCAAAAATGCAGTCAGGGCAGAAGATAGGTAGCCCCAAGTAGTCCCCAGTTTAGGCGTCAGCAAGAGAAAGCCCCCAGAAACAAAAAAAGTTGAGGATGGTGTTCCAAATGTTAAAATGTTAACCCATGTTAAGAGATACACAAGTCATGCTAACAGCATATTTGATACTCATTCCTCACACCTTCAGCTCTTAATCTACCTGCTCTTGAACTATTTTGTGAGCTAGCCTCCACACCACACTGCAGTATACAGAATTCCAGAAATAAGTTATGCTCAAGTCATTCAAATCTTAGTTTTAAATGAAACGTTCCTGTATTCTGTAACCACGTCCTCTAGTTTGAGATTCCCTCAAGAGTGGAAATATGTCAACATCTACCCTATAAGCCTCTTCAGAGTCATGCTTCAATAAAGGTTACTCCTCATTCTTTTAAACTGATTACTAAAGAACCAACTTGTTTAGTCAGAGTATCCACAAAGTTATGAGGATTAAGTCTTATTTGTAATAAAACCTCAGTTCTTGTGCAGTATTTATGGATAAAAACACAATTGTGTATAAACTGTTATCTTAAGGTACATTGGAAGCCTTGTGAATATAGTCATTGACCATGACAGTAAGCAAACTGTCAAGATACAACCCAGGAATCTGAATTACCTAGTATTACTGTCAGTTGGGGTTCATTGTACCATGCACTTGCTGTCTTTGCCTTTCTAAACAATATAGATTATGACTTGGGAAGACATTAAAAAGGAGCCACGAAAAGCTGCTGCAGTGCATCTTAGTAGACTGCTTTCATTGCATGACAATTGTGGAAGAGTGAATGTTAGAGTTGTGGATCCGATTCTGAAATTGAAGATTTTTGTTTTTAAAAACCTTTTGTTTATTGTATCCCTAGCTTGCTGGCATTACTGCTGCTGGACACCATATTTAAAAATTGGGGCATGGTCAATGGGCTGAGGAGTGGCAGATGAAGTTTAATTTGGATAAGAGTATTACATTTTGGTTAGAAACAAACAGGACAGGACTTATACAGTTAAAAGTAAGGCTTTTGAGTAGTTTTGTAGAACAGATACCTAGGGGCCTAGACACAGAATTCTTTGTATTCTTTCATATGCTTGCCTTCATTGCTCATACCAAGTATAGCAGTTGGGACATCATACTGATGTGGTACAATATTTTGGTGAGGCCTCTTCTGGAGTACTGTGTTCTGTTCTGGTCAGAGTTACAGGAGGGTGATTATTCAGCTGGAAAGGGTTCAGAAAAGATTTACCACGACATTGCCAGAAATGGTGGATTCAAGTTATGAGGCGAAGCTGGGCTTTTTTGATAAAGGCTACAGGATGCAAGAGCAAGAGCGAGAGCGCAGAAAGATTAAGTCTTAAAAAGTGCTTCATGTGTGGAATGAACTGCTGGAGGAAGTGATGGATGCAGCTACAGTTGTAACATTTAAAAGATGCATTGGATAAGTACATGAATAAGAAATATTTGGAGGGATTTGGGTCAAGTGCAAGCAGGTGGTACTAGTTTAGTTTGGGATTAAGGTCCAACTAGTCTGTTCTGATCAAAGGGTTGTTTCAGTGCTGAATAACTCTATAAATCCCTCTTTCTGGGCAGCTTTTAGGTCAGTTGTGAAGGGGGCTGCTTTACCCTGATCACAAATGGGACTTGGGGTCTAATCAAAAGTTTATAAAGTGAGAAGTTTACCATTTATTGCAAGTGCTAGCAAGTATAATCCATAACCACTACATTTTATTAGTGTTACTTTGTATGTCCTAATTAAGTACTCAAAAAGAATAGTTGACAGAAAGAGACATCAATTTTCCTCAAACTTAGTCACTTTCCTATGGCATTACCTTACTGTCTCTCTCCAATTCACTTTTTAACCATTCAAAGTCACTGTATCGCCTGCGCACACATGAATCCTTCATCTTAAAAATGGGAAGATTTGTCTGCAAAAAGGAAAACAGTTGCACTTTATTATTTATAGTTCTGTGCACAAGAACAATGTTTTTCTACATGCAAGTCAATTGCCTTTTCAATTGAAAGGCTGACACCCTGCATAAGAAAAAAAGGATCTGTTTTAATCCAAAACAGTAACAGGACAGCACACGCGATAACATCCAGCACAATGATCAGAATACATCATACACAACTGCCCAGGCACACAACTCAATTGTCAACCAGGCCAATAGACTGATTTTTGTTTGCAAGATAGTCTGTGACCACAATGAGCCTCATACCTAACCCTTCATCTTGTACATCCCTTCCACAAGGATCTCAGTTCTTACTTCCTGCAATACCTCAACCATTTGTGCTTCAATATGACCTGCTCGTCCAAACAAATGGTTTAATTCTGTGGCTGAATAGCCTCCTTCAATGTTTGTCTTGGTTCAAGAGCAATTCACCCAATACATTCCCCAACCCCACAATTTCAGATAATTGCCTACTTCTTTGAAGGACTTACTGACTACTTCCAGCAGGCAGTACACGCCAGATCCCAGCCACACACACTAAAGAATGTTTCTTTTGCCATGTGAACCTTTGGTAACAAGCACCTTTATATAAAAAACAAGTTACCTCTGGTTCTTAATTTCTCCCTAAATAATATTTTAAAGATCCCGTTTCTTGAGTACCTATATCAGGTCTCTTCCTAACCTTCCAAGAGCTCTAGATTTACTAAGCCTCAAATGAAGTTCTCAGCCAGAACAGAAACTAGCTGTGGTAGCTTTCTAAAGCTACCAAGATGTTCAATCAATTTGAGCACATTAAGTCCTTAGACCCTCCTGTTCAAGCACCCTTTTTCTTTTAAAGATTGCACTCATTTCACATTGAATACTTCACATCTTCTGCACTGAAGATTAACTGCCTGTCTGCTCATTCCAACATTATACCCTCTTGAACTCTATCACTGTCCTTCTCAGTTCACAATACTTGCATGATCTGTATTATTGACATGGAGGAAAAGGAACAAGTACATTAAGTTACAGAACAGAGTTCCACAAGCAGAGTCAGCTCCCAAATGGTGAATAATTCTCCTCAGATACCTTTTAGCCCATGTTTTAACAGGAACTAGCTTATCACCTCATCACTTAACAAATCCCTTCTGCATAGACTTCAAATCTTTTTGAAAGTAGGGCAGCTAAAACCAATAGTATGGCAATATTTCTGGGATACACTTAAGGAAAACTTGCTCTTCCAGGACAAAGATGATTTTGTTGCAAACCTCTACTTCAGGTAACAAAAGTATAAGAAATTCACTAAGTGCTCAGATAGAAACCAAGCATATTTGAAGGACAAAGTTTGGCTTACTCCCAAAAGCAGTTTAGTCTCTCTCAATGTCAGTGGCTGATAACTGGTATGTAAAACAGAGACAAAAAGTTTATATGTTTAAGTGACTTTTACCACACTATCTGGCCAAGTTAGCAAGCAAAAAGAAGCAGATGGATAGCAAACAAACTAGGGAAGCAAAGTTATTCCCTTGACTCAAGAGTACACAAACAGAATTTCTTTTCCAAATGGTGCAAAACTAAACTGTTGACAAAGAGACTTGGTGTACTCATGCCAGGCACACAAAATTAATGAAGTTAGAAGCAATGGGACATTGCCTAAATTACTAGATTAGAATACAGGAATAAAGTTGTTACAATTGTACACGATTTGAGAGCATGAGTTGAATATCTGGAACCAACAGTTCTGAGCACAGGTCACTGGACCCAAAATGTTAACTGATTTCCACCCCCACCTTCAGGTACAGCCAGACTTGAAGAGTTTTCTAGCAACTGTTTTTGTATGTGATTAATCCTTGTCTGATTGCAAAAATCACATTAAACTTTTAATGAACACAGGAAATTCTTTTTAGCAATGTTGAACCAACAGCTCCTGTTGTTTGCTTAGCTATAAGCTGTGTAGAAACCCAGTCTATTTTGATCTACTGGCTACATTTTATTTAGAAGACAAGAGTTTCAAGTCAATTGACTTCATCATGGCAATTCTGACTGTGACAGAAGTCCACAGTACTTGAAAGTGAATTTTGTTCTCAAATGTAGCTACATTGCCACTTTTTGTAATCTTAGTGAAGTGAAAAGCAACATGCAAAAGTTTAAATTCACAGAGCAAAATATGAAAGTAAGCAAAGTGAACAATTCAACAAGTCAACTCTGGCTGTAAAAAAAAAGTTAAAATAATGTTATTTGCCTAAAATGAAGAGGTGCAACGATATAAAAGGATTAAATTAACCAATAGCAAAGACAGGGCAGATTTATGCCCAGCACTGGCCAAATTATTGCTGTAAGCACACCTGGCTAACTAGTTTTAAAGATAGATTTAAGAGTGGACTTTGCATTCAGTTGCAGCTCAGTTTCCTTCACAATTTAGTGTCTGAGAAAGGTTAATAGCTTGCAAGTAATGGTATATCATTTCCAACACAGTTAAACTTATTGATAACTCACCCAGCTCAGAAAACTTGCAGTGCAGATGTGCAAAACATAGGGGTATTGTGGGTAGTTTTTGAAAAGACATGATTGTGAAAGACAATTTAAAGAGCCCTCCAGTTTCCTCAAAAGGATGGAGTATGGGAGACATTGAAAGGGAAACCCAACTGGACCCTCCTATGCACTTCAAGCATGGCCTCAAGTTCCATCTGATTTAAGGAAAAAGCACTGGATGCAATTGCAGGGTGAGTGAACCCAACTGTCATCTTCAGCACACAAAGTATGCAAGTATCTTGAACGGAGAGATTGGAAAGTGAAATTATTTTGAAGCCAACAAATTGACTAGCAATTTACTTCGTGCTTACAAGGAGGAACAGTTATTCTGCCCAAGTTGTCAGTTTGAAACGATATGTTTGCCTACATTCACAAGCCACGCATGCCAGGAAGAATCATGGATTAAATAAAATAACTCAAAGCACTGGGTGAAAACAACAAACAAACACTCTTCTTTACAAAGAGATATACAAGATAGGATTCACAACATAGAGTTTAGAATGACAAAAAAATGAAGGCGCAAACATAAAATGATGAAATCATAGCATGAGCAGACAGATCAAGAGGAATTGAGTGCAACTAGTAATGGTTACAATTAGAAAAGTGCAAGTAGAAGTGATGATCTTAATCTGGAATTCCAGATTCAGTGTTGGTGGTGATAATGTAAATCAAGAGCTGAAGTAGCAAACCTCAATTATTTAGCTTTATTGGAACAGTGTTGGAAGCAGACAGTAGATATCATCTGCTATCACTTAACTCGAAGCTTGAAGCCACACTTAGACTAAAATAGAGGTATTAGTTGCCCCAAAACAGAGGAGAGCAAGTCTTGAACAGTGAATATACAGTATTAATGTGCTGTTTCACCTTGAAAGAATGTCTACAGGTCAAGACATTGAGAAGGGGAGAGCTAAAAGGGCAAGTGTTACATCTGTTGTGCTTGCACAGAATGGGAATTAGGGTGGAAAATTCAAGAAAGTGGAGAACATTTGTTTTTTTAAAAAAAATTAGTTTGGAAGAAAGTATCAGAACAAAATGTTATGGGAATACAGAACAAAGTTCTTAAAAAGAAATGTGGTGGGATGGGTTTACTGCAGTCTTCAGCTGATAGTAAATGATATCTAATCTCTCAATGTTCGTTTGAGACGTTAGTCTTGGCACAATGATAAGCACTCACACTTGAAGTGTTTAAAGTGGAAACCCTAGAGATTTCAGAATGTGCTAGTTAGGAGTTTGCTTTCTTGAGATAAGCCAAGCCTCATCATCGAGGTGGGTGTGAAAGACCATAGAGGGCACTTTCAATATTTTAATTGTTCAAATATTACTTCCAAAATCCTCATTTATTACTACTTCTGGATCTTGCAGTGTGGAAATTGGTCTACATTTTTTGTAGTATCACATTGGCTACAAGTGATTTAGAAAATCCAGAGGGTATTGAAGATAAGTACTTGTATTTATTCAGGAAGACCATGCAAGTTGACTTTATTTTTGGATTCCATGCAGTCTTTCACTGTCTGGAAATGTTAAATGCAGATTTGCATTTCTGGCTACCAGTTTTGATACACAAGTCTGGGAAGTGCAGGGGCAGTGGGGACGCACGTGTGGATTACTGGTTACATGGCAAATAAAAAGGTCAGACAGGGTCTAGGGAGGGGAAGACAGAAATTAACCTTTTCCAGGCTGGCGATGTCCACTTACCCAAAAACGTAACAGATTCTCTCTACAGATGCTGTCTGACCCGAGTGAGTATTTTTAAATGGCATATTCCAGTCATTGTTCTTTGTATTAGATATGCTGTCAGTTAACTTAAAAATCACAACCTCACTAAATATCTTTTAAAGAGGGAAAACTATTGCCTTGAATTAGTCATTTTAACTACCGAACACACAAGGTGTACATTTACTGGGCTAAATGCAATCCATTTTAGCCTGGTTGGCTGTATAGACACTACGAACTTTGAAGTATTTTATGTTAGATTAGTCAAACAAACAATAGACCGATAGCTATGATAAGTCATAATTCTGACATCACCATCCCTGGTGGATGTCCTGTCAAGCTGTTGGCTGACCAGAGGGGAAACCATGTGACAGTACTGACACATGACATTCATCATTTGATCATAGTTCTGGAAGTCCATAATGAACTCGAACTTATTCATTCAACTAAAAAGCAGCTTAAGGTAATCTCCTAGGTCACCATCACCTAAAAACTAACATTCAGTGCTTCCTCCAAAGGGAAAGACCACATAATGGTACTCAGATGCACGATTCAAAATGTGCAGCTACACTAGTTGAGAAGGGAAAGAACCCTGAGAGAAAAAAAAAGAAAGAGAGGAACCAACTTAAAAAGGTCATTAACATCAACTGCAGATACGTTGGCCATATCTTTAGTAACCAAACCTAGACAGAATCTTAAGCACTTTTACCACAACACTATTCTACTTGCTTGTCTTCACATAGACAATAATT